CCCCTTTTATTTTGCTAACAGTACCCCACCAGTAAAAATAGTCTCATAATATTTGATATCTTTTAAAAAGTAAAAAAAAAAAACACAATGTGAAAGTTTTCGTTATTATTTACACTTAAATTTCAGATGTAAGGGGACAATCCTCAGAATCCAGTTCTGGCATTATGGTAGTATTACAATTAGAGGAATAGGGAAATACTCGTATATCTCCTGATTTTCTAAATCTACAAATTCCATCCAATTTTAAATATTTTCTTTTCAAAAAATTATAATTTATTTTAAAATTAGGCATAATAATTTCAGGTTCGGAGGATATATATATATATCAAGTGATATATCATGATATATATCACGATATAAAAATGTTTTCCACCATGTTAAACATCCGAAAATGTCTTAATACGCACCTGTATGAAGCTATAATAACTAGCGATTTATATGTGTTTGTGTTAAAATATTAATGTTAAAATCTGTTCCGACCGCCAACTCTGTATAACAATAATGTGGCTTAGCTCAGATGATAATGTAACTCGTTGAACATTGCAAACGACAACACCGCACCGATGTTGTCAGATCGGTCGGAAATTGCGAGCATCTCCTGATTTTGTCATTAATTTTTTGAAAATCTCGGTGCATAAAATGTAAGACTTATAGTCACTTATAAAGAGTCTACCAATAGGAGTGATAGAATTTTCGAAGGTCATATGCGTACAATGTTGATTGTGATAACAAGAAGCAAGCGTTGTTTGTGTTCAGTATACTTCGACATTTCACCATGAATCGACTATGTAAAGAGCAACGTTTATACTCAAACAAATAATGATTGAGAGTGAAAGCAGGTAGAAATACGACCAAATCGGAGGCGTGCTTATTATTTTGAGAGGGTACAATTATTTAAAATATTCATACAATTTCTTTTATTTATTTCATGAAAACTTTGCAATATCGTAATTTACCTAATCGTTGTAGTCATTAGTGGGGCTTTATGAAAACGGAGTAATAATTGTGGTAATTATAGTAGGAACCAAATAAATTAAGAATATTAATAAAAATTACAATATATATTTCAAATTAAAAATAAGAAAGATACCTAATCAGGGGTTGGTTTGGTGACAGAAACAATATTATCAATTTTACTATTTTAATAATGAATTTAACTTTATTTCACAAATTAACGTATATTTATATACTATGTCGCGGCCGAAGTCAGTACGGAACTGTCTCTTAAGTTTCTTCTTGCGTTACACATACAGAAGTATTACTTAAATTTTAAATTAAAATCAGAATGACGGATATTGCATATCTAATGCAATTGATATTTTTAGTTTGTTTTTGTTTAGTTATTTTTAAATTTTTATATTTTTTAATCTTTTTATATTATATTTAGTTTTTAATTTACTTCGCTTTGTCTATAAAATTTTTGTAATTTTTCAATGACAATAAAGCATACCTCTATATATATCTCTCTCTCTCTCTCTCTCTCTCTCTCTCCCTCTCTCTCTCTCCTCTCTCTCTCTCTCTCTCTCTCTCTCTCTCTCTCTCTCTCCCGGTTTACCTGCAGTTCCTCGAAACTAGGCAGCCTTACCCAAGAAACCCTAATTGGGTTCGGCCAACATTAAAAGACATTATAAAGCTTAAATTACTATTTGATTGGTACTTAAATCATAAAAGTTTACACGCACCTATCATTTCGGAAATCCCTAAGTAAGATAATTAGTTTGGATAGTAACCTACAGGATTATGTTTTCTTGACCGCCAAACATAATAATAATAATAATAATGTTTATTTCAAATTTATGTAACAATGTACAAATTGATACTATACTAATAATTAAATAAATAAACATTTGTATCCTGCTGAGACATTGTTCATGTCTGTGTACAGGAATTAAAAATACAAATTTATATAATAATTTCTAAATGGTAATAGTGAATGGTAAAAATAAAAAATTATACCTAAATATATAGACTTCTTTTTGTGTACAAATTTTCGTCTAATCTTCAACCTCAGATTCGTCACTGCTGCTACCGCTATCATCAAAGTTAATTATGATTGGTTCAATATTGTGTTCAATGGCTGCGTTCATCCGCGCCACATGCTACCTGATCGATCTGGTAGCGCTCTCGAGTGGCACGTATGAACGGTGTCTTTTGACATTTCGCTCAAGGAGCGGCCGCCATTAAAAGTAGCGCATTTTATTTACGTCTGATCGGTGATCACTGATCTGTCTTACGCACTTACGTCCACGGTTTGCTTGGTGACTAGTAGGGATATATTAGCAATTGAAAAATAAACAAACAAATCTTCAACCAGAGACATTCAACTCAAAAGTAAAATGAATAAACCAAAATCAAATGTCACTTTTAAACATGGTTCATCCGTGCATAAAGATCGATCAGGTAGCGTAAGTGATCGCTACTTTTGTAGCGCTCCTTGAAATGGCGCGGATGAACGCAGCCAATACGGTTGTCTACGTCCCACATTTTTTGCTCTTCTTTTAAAACATGCTGAATGCATTTCTTCCAGTCTTCTGCAGAAACATTTTGAATGGCTTCTTATAGGTAACGTTGCACGTCCACTAATTTAAATGTTCTGTTTTCTCGTGCCACATATCCTTTTACTTGCGCCCAGATTAATTCTATTGGGTTTAATTCGCAGTGGTACGGTGGTAACCTTAATACTGTAATTCCACGACTTAACGCCATTTTATCCACTGCGAATTTTTTATATTTGTCTCTGTGTAATTTTGTTAACTGAAGTAGTTCTGCCTTTAAACTATCTTTTTTATATTGGATGTTTTTATTAATTAACCATTCTTGAATTGCTCGTTTTTTCCATGATTGTTTCGGTAATGATTCTAAATACCGACTATGATATGGGGCATTGTCCATGACGACGACAGACCCAGGTTCCACAAGTTGAATGATGCCTTCAAACCATTTTTCAAACACCTCCGCATTCATCTCTTCATGATAGTCGCCTGTTTTCTTGGATTTAAATATTAATTCACCATTTGGTAAAAATCCACTGTCGCTTCCTATATGCGTAACTATCAGACGACTACCTTTTCCAGACGGCTGTTTTAACCCAGTTGACAAGCCTTCAATAAAGGCTTGTCGTGCACTTGTTATATGACCATCCTGCCATACTTTTTTGACCGTATGTCCTTGGTTAACCCACGTCTCATCCATGTAGTAAATTTTTTTTTTGATATTCCGAAATTCCTCAATTTTTCGGAGATAATTTCTTCTCCATACTATTATTTCCTGACGTTCAATGAGAATGCTTTTCCTGTCGACTTTTCCGTACGTAAATTTCATTTCGTGTAAAATTTTCCTCAAAGTTTCTTTACTCATTTGTGGGACCAATTCATGATCGCTAACTGCCTCCAGAACTTTTTGCAAAGTGGGCAGCTCATTTCTGAAAAAGAAACTGTGAATAGTTGTGCGTATACTGTTTTTGGCTTCTTCATCAACTGTGATTTTTTTTCTTCCGCTACTAGTTTTTGGCGTTTGTACTTCCCCATGAATTTTGTTTTCTCTTAGTATTTTGTAAACTGATGATTTTGGTACACCCGTATAATCAGAGCACATATCAACTAATTTATCTTTTGTAATTGTGGAAGTTAATGATGTTGGAACGCCCGGTTGGTTATTCGGAGGTACATCCGTAGAATTACAGCACATATGCACTAAGTTATCTTTTGGTCGCTGATGATCTCTTTCAAGACAGTGAAATACTCGACTTCGACCGTTTTACCTTTTTCGACGTTGAAGGCCCTTCAATGTCTTCCATTTTTTGCATAGTTTTAGAACGGTGTAGAAATATTATTATTTAATGTTTAAACACTTATTAGCACTAATATTTTCACCAATTGTTCTTACAACACGTCGATTACTTACTAACTTAACTGTAAAACTTACAATTCACACCGTATAATTCAAAACCCGATGTTACGCTCGTGGTTAGAAATACACTACCGAGAACGTCATCGACGAGATGGATTTTACGCGTAACAGACAAAGACACAAATATCGCTCCGTACACCGATGCCATTAGTTGTAACAAATAGTGAACAATCCATAAAATAATTAATTTTAAATGATCAAGAAATGTATAAGTATTACTCATTACTGATTTTTGTTATAATTAATATCTTTTATTAGTACTATGATTGTATATTATCTATAATTTGCCACAACTTACAACTCTACTACTTACTCTATTTTGATTCTGCTAAAACTAGTAAGGTAAAATTGAGATATGACAACACGGTTCACTCTCAATCATTATTTGTTTGAGTTTAGTTATCGTACAGAGGTATTATGAAAATGGGCGATCGGTTAGAGCTTGTTATCGTGCTCATTGTGTCCCCCGGGCTATATGAAGTATGTGTGACGGTCATGAGCTCTCGGAATATTAAAAATTATAGAAGAAATAGTGTATGAAAAATTGTGAAAAACAGAATATTTGTTCATAACACGACAAAGCATCCAAAGATTTGTGAGTACCATGATTTTATGAATACTAAAGTACTTTAATAGATTTTAGACAATGTTGGTCAAATGTTTATAAGAAACACATATTTATTATCAGATAACATAAAGACTGTACAGCAAAGATCGTTAATTCTGAATTATAGTCAGGGAGAATAAAATTAAGCTTAGGTTTACTTTTAAACATAATTTAAAAATTCTGAAAAATGAATTCAGATGCTTTAGAAAAAAAATTCAAATGCTGTAGGACAGATGCAAATAATCATGTTTTGTGCATTAACTGTTTGAATTTATTTTATAAAAGCTGCGCTACTAAACGAAAATATGAAAATCCACAAAAATACTAGAAGGTGTTCATATTTATTGTAGTAATGTTTGTGAACAAATGGTAAACGACAAAAAGTTGGAATTGACTAAATTGCTAGGAGAAATTGATAAATTAAAGAACACTTTACAACAAAAAGATGAAACGATATTTAATCTGAAGTTAAATATTGCTTGATATGGAAGCACTAGTGAAAGACGTGCAAGTAAGACATAATCATTTATTGAAAGAAAAGAAAAAAATTAAAGATTTTGGGGATGAAGTATTTGAAGCTGAACAATCGTTTGTAGATAAAATAAATAATGAAAGAAAAATATCTGCAAACGCGCTTGAAGAACTAAAAGAAGTGAAACAATTCAATGCCAAAATAAATAAGGATTTGGAACTTCAGCAAGTTGATTTGAATAATCAGAGAAAATATGTAAAAGAATTAGAAGAAATTGGTAGAAATATGGTAGAATCAGTAAGAATATTGGAAAAGGAGAAAAAATTATTGGAAAAAAGGTTAATTGAAGAAAAAAGTACAGTCGAACACATTCAAAGCCCTTTAGTAGTAACTTCGACCTTAGGTTTAATTTAAAGTGAAGCTGATGAATTACTCACAGGTGAAAAAATCCATCAACCACATCTACGAAAACAAAATAATGCTAAAATATTAGGTTCAACTAAATTATTAAGAAAAGTTGTTATCATTGGTGATGAATACGCTAGAAACTGTGCTCCTTTATTAGATTTATGGCTTGATAACAATAGGTATGTAGTTAAAGCTTTTGTAAAACCATACGCTGAGGTAAATGAGGTATGTGAAGATATTTTTTTGAAAACCAAACATTTAACTGAAAAGGACTTTGCTGTTATTATACTTAATACACAAAACATCCGTAATCACAAAAACTTACATGCTTTTCTTAAACAGGTATTACCTATATCTAAATTTACTAATCTATTGATACTAACAAAATGTAATAGAACCAGAGTTGGGTAGTATCCGGATACTTCTGTATCCGGATACTTTATGTGTATCCGAAAGCTGTATCCGGATACTTTTAAAATTTTGTATCCGGTATCCGTATCCGTGACCAAATTTGTAAGTATCCGGATACCGGATACTTTTTTCGGCATTCGGATACTTTTAAATTATTTACCACAATCGTAACTGATCCAATCCATATTATCTCTTTTAGAATACATAATCATAATACTTTGAGCTACCCTGTAAATTAGAAATAAAATACGTATTTTTCACAGAATCAACACTGCCGATCGACTCTGTCTATCGACATAGTTGATCAACAAGTCTACAAAACTGCATCTGCATGTCCACACCAGAGTTGACAGAAATGTTTGTCGATCAGTTGAAATTAACATGTCTGACGAAGATAACATTATAGTTGCTTGTGCCGCATATATTATTATCGCGACTAAAAAAAGAAAACTTGCACGAAAAATAAGATTTTGGGTTCGACCAAGTCTTCAAACTAGAACTAGATACAACGCTAGTAATTTGATAGAAGATTTAAAAAAAATGACGTCAACATATTGAGCCTTGAATACAGGTGTAATGGTGGTTTTAGATTTTTTTTTTCGAATGTCGGAAAGTGAATTTGAATATTTATTACAAGAAATCGGGCCAAAAATTTGTAAAGAAGACACCAATTATATACCTGCTATTCCCATACTGGAGCAAGACGTTACTGAGTACTTAGTACTCAGTATTAACAGTTTGTCGAATGTCTAACGTCGAAAACATGTCCACACACTAAAGTCGATCGACTGCTCTTTCATGTTTACCGACAGGCGATGGAAAACAAATCGACATGTCGATCGATTTATTTTGTCGATCGACACCGTCGATTGCTGCGTACACACAAAGTCGACAACGTCGATAGACAGAGTCGATCGACAGTGTTGATTCGGTGAGGACGCACCTTTAGAATTTCGCATAAAATGTGTAAACAAAACACATTTATATCGCTTGAGAAATAAAAATTAAGTAAAGAATCGAAGAATAAATTCCTCTTAATAGAAAAAGAATAGAAATTTGGAATTTAAAGATAGTTAAGGTAATTTCAGTATCTATTTTGTTTAAAATACAGTTTTTTAAAAAATGGTATAACTAAAAAATATATCTCGGAAAATCAGTTTAGATAAAAAAAATGTAAAAATAAAAGAGAATATAGAATTTGGTGTAAAATGTCTCTCCAAAATTTCATTTAAATCGCTTGACAAATAAATATAAATAAAATCAGCGGCGTATCACTTCCATTTAATAAAAATATTATAAGTAAAATGATATGCTCAATGATTATACAGTGCGTCCATAAAGTAACGCATAAATTCATTATTGGCTAAATGAACAATAAAATTAGGAATTCCCAAAACAGGTCGATTTTTGATTTCAATTTACTATTGTTTCAAATCATAATCTAATATACAGGGTGAACCACTTTCGTGTAATGACGTCATCACCATTTTTTTCAAATGGAACCCCCCCCTTTTTTTTCAATTTCCAAATTGCCTTTGCTGAGCTGATTCCAAAAATGTATAATATGTTCCTTCAAATTGGTACAGGGTGGGCAAAAATGCAAAAAAAAATATGCCGCAGATCCAGTTTTAGAAAAAATATTTTTAGAGAGCCCGTCTCTAAAATCGGCTTTAACTTAACATTTCTCTTGTTAAATGTTCAGTCCATTAGAAATAAAATTGACGAGCTCTATCTTATAATAAAAGAGAATTATTTTCCTAGCATATTATTGTTAATAGAGTATTGGCTAGAAGAAGGTGAATTTGTACATATACACAGTTATTCTCTTTTATCAATTTTCTGCAGACAATCTTATATCCATGGCGGAACAGCTATATTTGTTCACGATTCGTTGTTAGATTATTTGTCTGTAGATACCATTGAATTTATTGAATTAGGTCAGGAAAAGAAATTTAAGTTTTTTGTGTTTTTATTATCAAAATTAAATATTTACATTATTTGCATATACAGATCTCCAAAATCTAGTATTCCGGAATTATTAGAAAATTTGGACAAGCTACTGTCAAAAATTCCTCCTTCATGTAGCGTCATATTATCAGGAGATTTCAATATTAATTTTGATATCAGTGAAGATCGAAATGTTATAAAGTTAGTGAATTTGTTTACCTGTTTTAATTTACTTATGCATGTTAAATCACCTACCCGTATTAGTCTTTAGTTGATTATTTCTGTAGTACTTACAATGAAAATAATGTTAAATGTGACGTGAATCATGTAAATTTGTCAGATCCTCCTGTTTTAGCAACTGTTGTTATTGAGGGTGTTTCTAAAGTAAATCAAAATAGTAGGGTAAAGTATGGCAGGTTATATAGCAAAGTTGATCCTTTTAAGCTATTCTATGATACGGTTTATACATTTTTTAATTCTGCTTTTCCTAAACAAAAAATAAAAACAAAAAATACCCGACATTGTGAGAAACAAAAAAAAAATATTGCCTATCACTTTTTTTTTAATTCATTTGAAGTTTTTGATCAAATGGATAAATGTTTTTAACTGTACAACATACAACTCGGCTGCTGATAGTGTTAATTTTAAACATCAAAACCGACCCCTATATCCTATGTTGGTATTACTGAATAATGATAAATGACAAATCAATATCTGTCAATAAAGTCAGTGTTTTGCTGTATTCGAAATCAGAGAAGGTTGTGTTGTTTTATTTCCCGTTTCCCGGCTAATTTTAACAGGTTATGAGCCCAGCTACGGTACTCATTGAAGCCTTGTTGTTTGTCTAAGTTGTTGAAAGTGGAAATAAAAAAAAAAAAACTGTAAAGCAAAATGGCTGTAAACTATATGGCAAATATTCCGAAGCTCAAAGGTCGCGAAAATTATGCTGATTGGGCATTTGCTATTGAAAACTTCCTCGTGTTGGAAGGGCTATCAAAATGCACATCTGAAGTTGTAGCAGATAGTGACGCCAAAGCGAAAGCAAAGATAATTTTAACAATTGATCCAAGCTTGTATGTTCATATTAAAGAGGCGGCGACAACTGTGGACCTGTGGAAAAAGTTGAAAAGTCTGTTCGACGATTCTGGACAAACTCGTAAAATTAGTTTGCTACGTAACTTGATTTCAACGAAACTTGAAGAATGTGAATCAATGATAAGTTACGTGAATCATATAGTGGAAACCAGCCAAAAGTTAAATGGAATTGGTTTCAATATTAGTGACGAATGGGTAGGATCTTTATTATTGGCGGGACTTCCTGATCATTTTTCCCCTATGATTATGGCGATTGAGCACTCCGGTATCGCCATCTCTGCAGACATCATCAAAACAAAACTTCTGGACATGGACGTTAGTGTAACTACCAGTAATAAAAACGCCCTAGTTGCGAAAGGTTGGCAGCACCGAAACTTTGACAGAAATGACAAACAGAAGTTTGACAATGACGGTAATGGCGGACAACGTAAACAAATATCATGTTGGAGATGTAAACAAAAGGGACATTTACGATCAGCTTGTAGAAATCCTAGATCCTTTGAGGTAACTACTGTGGATGAGGATGAGCCGAGTGAAAATGCTTTTCCTGTATTGTTTTACGGCGGAAATTTTAATGCAGAAGACTGGTATGTCGACTCGGGAGCAAGTTGCCACTTTACATCCAATGAAAATTGGGTTCAAAATAAAGTTTTTGATGCTAAATTACCCGAAATAATGGTAGCAAACAAGGAAAAACTGCCAGCAAAGTGCATAGGTGAAACCTTAATAAAGACTATTGTTAAAAATAAAACTTTTGAAATCCCTGTAAGAAATGTTATATGTGTACCAGGGCTGCAGTGGCGGATCTAAGCAGGAGTGGGCCTCGGTGCAAGAAGTGCTTGTGGGCCCCTCTGGCTTCAAAACCAATATGTAAAAAAAAATCACGAATGGTTTGGATTATTTAATTTATTTATAAACTATTAATAACAAATATAAAATAAAAAATAAGTATAAACAAACAGATACTTTCTAAATAAAACAAAAAGAAAAACCTAATAAACTAGTAGTACCTATCTATGTATCTATTATCACAGATTATTAGCTAATCTGTGGTATATAGTATCACAGATTAATTGTACAAATCCGTGAATGTTATTTTTAATATTTTTATATTTATACTTTATAGCGCCCTTTTTCTAACTTTGGCATTTGCAAATCGATCTATTAAATTAGAGATGTCTAAGTTAGATGCCATTTTACTTTCTATAGATAAAATTGATAAATCGCGCAATCGCTGCTGACTTATTGTAGATCGCATATAGTCTTTTATCATTTTAAGCTTACTAAAAGATCGTTCCACAGAAGCAACTGTTACAGGAAGGGTAAAAAATAAAAGAAAAACCGTATAAACCTCGCAAAAGTCTGCTTCCATAAACGCATAATTCTTAATAATAAATTCAAAGAGTTGTCTTATGGACATATCTTCTTTAAGGTCATGTTTCATTAAATCTAAAATCATGAGAAACTGATTTACAAAACAATGAGATAAAACTTTCGGATATTTTTCGCAAAATTCTTCACATCGGTGTAATATTTCTTCTGTTGAGCTTACA